CTAGTGCAGATGTCTTAAGCACTCGACTTGTTGCCAATTTTGTTTTGTGTACATACCATGTATTCTCATCTCAAGTTGTTTTTTCTAGAGAAACTGGTTTCTCTGTTACACATGGGGAAAACATTAATTTAAACTGGGAACTGTACTAGATTTTGTTTAACAATTGCAACAAATTTCATGTCTGCAGTCAATGAATGGTGATCTCAAATAAATTAGGAATACAAAGATACACTGAAACCTGTCCATATTTCCGATGAATGGAAATTAATGCGAAGCAATTGTCATAAAGCATTACAATTGTCACCAAACATTGCACATATTGCAGTGGGCTCAATATCTATGAGTAAAAAGGAAACCTTTTATAATGAGAATAAAGAAAAACTAAGGATTGGGGGTAACAAAAATTCTTCTTGAAGGACATGAAGGAGAATCTTATATTTAAAGTGCTGTTTTTAACGAGGTTTAACTGTCAGACTGAACGGGTATACAAATTTGTCACGCACCCACTAATGGTTAGGCCTTCTCGAAAGTTAAGAGCATAACTTCTGTCTTTACTGGATAATGAAGAAAATTCAAAGAATTCAGAGTTGCAGAGATACGTGTACTTACATGTACATGTAGACGCGGGTTCACATTTTTATGTAAGTGGAATACGAAGAAAGTTTGATGTCACGAAGTATTTATGCCAAAAAGTTCAACAAAATCCCCACTTCCAATTTTTGTGATTTGAGCTGTACCAGCATACAGAGTCGACGCGGCACACTGTTTCCCGAGAGGGGTAATATGCATTGCACTGTTTCAATGTGGGAACAGCCACCGAACCTTCCGCTGCTCACAAGACAGTCAAGCGCCCGTGTACCGACTTGACACAGTACACTGTGAATGGACTGCAAGGCCGGCGTGGCGTGACATCATTAACGGACATTAGCATACAATTAAACTAGCGAAATGAAAAAATGGTGACTTCCAGCTCGACAACAAGCGTTTCCGATTCGAAGGGGAAAAATGTTTCCTTTCTTCCAAACGCTCATTTTTATTGTGAGTTTCTAGTGGTTATCATGTTCTTTTTTTTGGCAAATACAATGTACATGTACATTGAGTTTGAGGTAAATTTTACCTTCATGTCTCGAGAAGAAACCCGCACCCCATAACTTTTTGTCACAGCGTAACGCGTGAGTGACGAAATCTTTGATCAAAATTCCTCAATGATGAAGGAATGGTGGGAACTTGGCATGTTTGTGTCATGTGACGATCACATGACAGCGCATGCAGGCGCATATTCTTAAATAAACTGAATTATCTATGGCCTCATTTTCAGTAGTTGAAAGTTTGACTAAAATCCTACATGAAGTAATATTATGAAGAACTCTGAATGCAGGGCTTCTGTTAGCGTGCGTATCGGCGTATTTTAAACAATGAAAATGGAGAATACGAAAATAAATTCACGTAAAAAATGTAAAAAAACACATTCATTTTTGACCCTAAATACTTAAAAAAGGCTATGTTTTTACTGTAGGACGTCAAATATGTTGTAAGGGCAACTGTTTAGCTGTATCATGCCACTCAATCATGCTGATACTTCGTCCTCACGGCTTGGTGGCAAGCCTTCCACTCGCTCGACCGAGCACTCGCTTGATGTCGCTCAGCGAAAAAGCATGGCGATGTGCATGATGTCTCACTATAGCGTGCGTGTACGTGTACATGTGCAATACGGTGTGCTGCAGCTGTTCATGTAAATGGCGCCTGTGCGGTGTGCACTTCGGATTCAATTACATCAAATTGGTACTGATCAAAACATTGTTACGCCTTTCGTGTAGCACAGCCCAGAGCAGCATGCAGCGCCGTCCGATGCATTGATAAAGTGATCGATCGTTCCAAAATAGCTCTCTTGCAGCGCACGCGGCGGAATTAGTGTTGTCATAATGGCGTACAGACAACTTAAACTGTCGGAGCTCTTCCGCAAAACTAGCCATGACATCGACAACGACTCGCCTTCCAATGTCGTCAGGAGCATCCTCGCTGATCTTATTGAGAAGCTGCCCTTGCAAGCACTACCTAACTTGTTTTATGTTTAAGATGACAATGTAAACCAAACCTCATGTACTAAGTTTGATTTCATACATGTAATCATTTATTAGAAGACATAAAAATACTCCTTGCTTTCACTCCATGAAGTGAAACACTTCCAGATTTCTTACCTCAGGAGTTGCAAATACTCCTTTCTACAAAACAAGTGACTATAATACTCTTTTGTCAAAAAAGTTAATGAAAGCCCTGTGAATGTCACCGAAGCAGCAGGAACGTCATCTGCAAAAAGGTCGGATCAGGTGTAGTAAAACTTATGTCACCAAAATTTGCACACATACACTGAAAACGTCATTTTATGGGGTATCAGTAATGTGAAAAATCTGCCAGTTACATGTAATGTCTCTTGAATGATGAATTATGTTTTGCATTAATGACTTTGGTTTAGTTAATACAGTTTGAGGAAAAAACACTTTTATTTGCAATAGCTTGACTTTCCATCCCTTTCACTTTTTGTTCTCCTAGATTTCCATTTTTTTCAATGTACATGTACGTTGAAAATACGAAGCGCGAATTTTTTACTCTTTTAAATAAATCATAATTAGCATTAATGTGAGTTATTTATCTGGATATGATAAATTTTCTCTTTCTCTGTGTATTTCTGAAAAAGTCACAAAATACAGTGCCACCGAATCCACGCCCGTTATCGCCAATGGCAATCTCAAAATATAAGGTGCGCAGTATTTTTCAGGGTCCATATTTTTGATGACGCCCTCAATAGTTGGCAAAAGTTGATTGAAGTCGTCATTAGCACCTGTATTGGACATCTCACATCGATCGTGAATGAACAGCACTCATTTTTGTAGGGTTTATTTTTGTATTTAGTCTGTAAAGTAGGCTAGGCCAGTATGTAAAGCATTACGCTCTGTTGACATTCTTCCCAAATTCTCCCCGGAAAAACTTTAATTCCAAATAGGCTAACTACTAAAAGAAAAACATCAAAGTGACAATCGATCATCAACAGTAAATTAACGTCAGTGCACAATTTCGTTGAAGAATTTCACCACGAGAAAGTTGGATGCGCGAATATTTGTATGCGCGAATTTAGGGTACTCCAGCTCCACGATATACTGTACATAAAAAGCTACATGTACATGTATGTACCCACCTTACTGTGTACAGGCACACATGCGCATGTCGGCGCAGCCTGAATGTAATAACGTAACGTGGTCACGATATCGCGTCCAGTGTATTGCACAGACTGGCATTCCCCTGACGTTTGTAAAGAATTTCAACCAACGTTAAACATACTCTTATGACTCAAATAGCAAACTTAAAAACAAACATCTGATACGTGATAATTTTGAAATCAATACCAATCAGAAAACTCCCAAAAAATTACCTGTCTTGCTCATAAAAGCCACAAATGAAGTATTTTTCCGGAAGAACGTGTCAGTCTGGCGCACGACTTTTCAGCGACGACAAGTGGCTATTTCAAAAGAACAAGTATTTCGGTGGCAGAGAAAAATACAGCCCGCAAGTCATAGATGGACCAAAAAATCTCTTTTATCAATGTTCAACAGTACTCGACCATGGGAGTGACAAAATAAGTTAAACGTTTGGTAGAATTTACAAATAAGGACTTTAAAAGAGTTGTCACGATATACACGTTTATATTTCAACAGTTAATATCATCGTCAGCTGCTGTGAATTCTCTCGGTTTCTCGTGAATAATGCTTAGAAAGTGCTCAGGGATTCCCTTGACATGTCATTCTTTTAGGCCTCTGGAATTGTATTTTAAGGTTTGCATCGAGTGAAAAAACCAGTGTGCACTTGTAAGCTAACTGCTTTTGGACTTTTTATCTGCTGGAGTTTGGGCATTTATTCCAAAATCATGGCATTTGTAGTACTCAAACGTGGAACAAAGTTTAGACTTACACAAGTTTTTAAATTTTTTTTTAGCAAAGATAGAGGGTTTCTTTTCAGAAGGGCCCTGCCATTTTAATGGTGAATGAAACGGCGGGGCTCATTCCATTTACTACATGGTAAGCAATATCATTGTTCATTATAAAGGTAGATGAGAGAGACCTTATTATTAATATTAATTTTTTAAGCACAATGAATTACTTGAATTAATTATTTTGTGGAGAAATACAATGCCAGAATAAAACAGCCTACAAAGAAGGAATATGTCCACCCCACCCCTGCAGGTTTAATGAGACAGTCGATGATTATTCAACATGGCAGCGAACATGGATGAGAGCGTGCTTTGCGAAGATTTTCTGAGATTTCAGGTATTTTGCACCGGGTTCTGACATGTTCTTTCAAATTTACTTCGGCTTCGTAGTTTAAAAAATGCACGGGGGAAATGACACTTCATTCACATAGTATGAGCCCAAACTTTGACGGAAAGCGGTCAGTTCAGTGCCGGTAACGGGTCAAGGTCGTCGTTGCCACGCCAGTGACAAGTTACGAGGCCCATACTAGTACTACAAGCGTAACGTTAAATGTACATGTAGTCAGTTAACATACCTGTGGGGGCGCTCTTTATGATTTAATGCTAATCCTCAACATGCTCAAGCAACGCCTGCATATCTCTTCCGAATCTGATTCTGAGTCATAGGCCTAGTTGGCAAAGCCTCCATTATGTCAGGAAACATCACATGACACCAACATGGGTTAGTTTGGGCTGTGGAGCTAGCTAGCTGGCTAGACGTGTCTTCGGTAGCTTATTTACAAGAACTAGGCTCTAAACAATTTAAAAATTAAAAGTTCATCACATGATGTAGGACTATTGAAGACTAAGGCCTACAGTCAGACAGTGTGGTGATAATCCAAGGTGAAGATCTTGGATGCTTCTTTCAGCTCAGTGGCTGAAAATCAAAAACATCATGGTTGAGTTGGAAACTCAAGGTGGCGGTTCCCAGGCTTATCTAGGCCCCATGCCAGCCAGCCATACAAAACACCGATTTGGGACAAAAATCCACCGCAAACGGCACAAAACCCAACATCAACAGACCACACATATAACACTCCACAACAAAAACAAATACCAAAAGAAGAGCGTACACAGGTTTAAAAACACACAACACATGGGAAATAAGAGCTAAACGAAAACATGTCCGTCTTAGTTATGCCCTAGCACCATGCCATGTCATTATATTAGGATTACAAGCATATGCACTTCAACTAACAATCCAGAGTTGTAAATCTAGAACTCTAGACTAAGATAATGAGGAACTATAGCAGAGTCCCCTAATGTGGTGCACTTTGATGTTCACTTGACTTTCCTCACACAGCGTTATCAAACTTCTTTTTTGAAAAACTTGAAACTCTTGGTTAAAAACTGGTACTTTATGATACATGGTATTGAACCTTCATGAACAATTTCAGAGTCATGAAATTCCTTTGGAAATCCAAATCTGTTAGCATCCAGAAATTTGGCTCAAATTTGAGTATTCCCTAACGTGATGCACTTGAAAAAAATCACAAAAATCCCATGGTGCAAGTTTAATTTGAAACACAAATTTGAACTTCCGAAAGTAGTGGAGATCAGTGCAGACACATTTGGCCTTCATTAATTTCATGGAATTTACTCGAGCCTGTTTGTCCCTATAACATGTTATGATATTTCTGAATTATTTACAGTGATATCGATCTTGTTAACCGGTCAGTGAGGGGCCTATTTAGTGGATTGGCATGATCATGTGCTATCAGTCATGCCAGTCGATTGATGCTGTATGGAATTTCTGACTTCCCTATTTCGAAACAATCTCCTACAACTGTGAATTGGAAAGTAGAGGCAGTTGATTGATGGTGGAATTATTGGCAAATTGTTCATTAAATCAATAGATCTTGCAACGATTTTGCATTGTAATCAGGCAGATCGACCAATTGCATACAACATCAGCTTTCTTATGCATCCTTCAACTGTGCTGATATTTCCCCAGCCTGGAGTAACTGGCTCAGTGAATCAGTTACTAGGGCCTGGTCCAAGTAAGCACAAGATGGCACATGAGTGTCAAATCAAATGCACTTTGCACTTGCATATATGCAGAGGGAAGTAATTGAACACGCTGAAGGAGGACTTGTGGGATGGTGCTTAGCAGGAAAGTTGAACTGAAGAAAAAGATTAGCTCGAAAATTACTAATTCTATGTTACACACTGCATGTTATTTTTATAACATTTGGTTAGAATCTGCGATTTTTTACTTGAATGTAACTTGTGGAAAAGGGTGTAGCCTGTTATTACTTGTAGCTGTGTGCATCCCTGTATTCTGCAGAATTTTAGTTGTTAAGGTGGGAAAGAATTTCATGTACGGACGTTGCTAATTTTTCCCTACTGTGACCCATGCAATAGCCATCTAAGAATAATAAAAGTCCTACAAAGTCAACTTTAACAGTGAAAATATTTTTAGGTAGAACACTTCCTGAATTTTTCAGACCAGTCTCATAGAGTTTGTGTACGGGTTTTCCAGCAGTCTCTGTACATGGAATTCTTCCATAAATGGAAGCAATTTAAAGTAGGATTATCCGATAAGATTTATGCAGGCTTATTAACCTTTCAACTGTCAATGATGTGGCCATGTTACCTTTACCTCCCAGTATTTCTGCCATTTACTAAACCCTATTTCCAAGCCCCATTTCCAACTCCACTACCCCCCCCCGGGAAGGTTTATCATATATTATTTGTCTTTCGTGCCCACAGTGTCTTGGAGTCATACATTTACCTCCAAGTTTATCATCAATTCAGTCAGCTGTTGAGTTGCTGGGCCATTTTAAAGTGAAAATTTTGTCTTGTGTACGTATGTAGGATGTGTTAAAGAACATGCGCACCATCGATGACAAAATTATCTATGCTCTGAACACCACTGTTCCCACCCAGTCTTTTGCGGGCCAAGTTGATGCCACAGAAACCTGCAAAGATTTACACTTCCAGGTATGGCTACAACTCAGAGTGGAATGGCCACTGTACATGTACATATATGATGCCAGTCATCTTCTTTCTGTCTCATCATTATGAAATTGATCATTTTTCACTGATTTCATCTTTGTTTTCAAAGTCATCTGTTCGTGGTCTGTATTTTTGCCTGTCTGTTTGCTTTTATTCTGTCCTTTTTCCTTAATATAACCTTTATAAACGAAAATGTCTTTCTGTTCTCAACTTCCATTTCATGCTCTATTTTCATCCACTGCATCATTTTGTGTTGCAGGTCTGAAGCCATTCTTTTTAAATGTGCCACTCCAAAATATTTCACCATTCGTCGCGTTGAATTTTGATGCATGGATTGTGTTCTTCTTGCCCTAACTTTATTTCAGGCTTTGATACTACGCACTGCCAATAATACATCTACCATACACTGCACAGGCATGCATGTTATACAGCATACTTGAAAATATCAAGGGGGAGACATCGGAATCCCCTTTTATGGGTCTTGATGGACAGCTAAACAGTTCCCTTCTTCACTGAAACTTCTTGCTGACTTTTTTTTCTTAAATCGAGCTGGAAAAAGCCTACAGCGAGCGGGAGAATGCCATCCGGCGATGTATATCCCATGTCTCAACAACAGTGAATAGATTACTCGATGAGAGAACGAAAAATCCAGACAGCATGGCTATCAACAGAGATTTAAGGAAAGAACGGACAAAGGTAAAGTGGACAACATTTTTTGCTTGTTTTTGTAATTGGGCTGATTTTTTTCGTCACATTCCAAAGTTTGGATCCAAACATTGCCTGGAAGAAAGTCATTACAAAAGTGTTGTGCATTCTTTTATGTTTCAGCTACAACAAATGCAGATGGAGCTCAACGTTGAAGAAATTGTTAAGGACAGGAGTCTGAAGGTTAGTGCAGGCTCCTTACTCCACTCATGGGAGTGCAGTCGGTTGATAAGAGTGCAGTTGATTGATGAGTGCAATTGGTTGATCAGAGCATAGTTGGTTGATCAGAGCGCAGGTGGTTGATAAGAGCACAGTTGGTTGATAAGAGCACAGTTGGTTGATAAGAGCACAGTTGGTTGATAAGAGCACAGTTGGTTGATAAGAGCACTGTTGGTTGATAACAGTGCAGTTGGTTGATAACAGTGCAGTTGATTGATGAGCGCAATTGGTTGATCAGAGCATAGTTGGTTGATCAGAGCGCAGGTGGTTGATAATTCCACAAGGGTTGATTCAGTAATTGAACTTGGACAGTAAAACACCGGTGGTGATTTCCTTGGAGAAGGAGTTGTAATAAACTTTAGTCAGTTTGAGACACAAACAGTAACTTTATTGTTTGGGTTTGGTTGTGTGCTTTTACTCATGTTAACCCCCAAAGGATGTCTTATGTTACCTGTTAATTACAGATTTGTTTTTAAATTGGCAAAGTTATTTTCAGCGAGTAGTGCGATAATCAAATTTGGTTCAACTCAGGAATGTTCTTGTGAAGTAAACAGTAAAAAAAAAGAAGTAAAATGTTTTTGTTTTCTCAAACTCCAGGTATTCCACGAGCGATGTAGGAACCATTATATTCCACACAGCACTTCTTCATGACGACACATTCCCGATCCAAGATCTTCAAATTGAAGAAACCGGTGTAGAGAAGTGGTCATGATGAAAGGGCATTCTCTGATATTCTTTACATATTCTGAGTTTCGTCAGACAATTAGCAGTGGACTTGATTCATGGGGAAAAAGATTCTTAACTTGGGCGTGACAAAGCTGGAGGTAAAATCTTCTAGAAAATGCTGCCAACTTACCTTTTTCAGGGTTTTTTTAGATTGTATTTGGACGTGTCAATGAGGTAACCAATGTTCCCACGGTCGTGGAAAATCCTCGAAAAAAAGTTCTCCAGGAAAATCATGGAAAAGTCACGGAAGAATTGGGGAAGAATAGAGAGTCCTTGAATCCTATTGTCAGAGGGAAAAAAATTCATGGAAAAATTGAGGAAATCAAGATCCTTTTACATGTAGATAGTTTAGTCCTGGATAGTCCAGGAATTTGTTTTCCAGTTTTCTGTGGGAACCCTGGAGCCCTTGTGAAGTGCCAATCCACGCAAAGTCTGCTGGATACCAGAGGAGCTTCAAGCAACATGCACACAAAAAATCTTGATATTTTGAGTATGCTGTTGTGCTGGGCAAGACAAAAAAATCACCCTATGCATGAAATACATGTAATTGCAATGTCAAAAGCGGTCGTCCGGACACGATCCTTACTGCATCAAAAGTTTCAATTTAAAGTTTCATTGCACTGAGTTTTTCCCCAAATGACACGACAGCATTGTAATAAAACTCTGTTTTATTTCACTTGTCCCCACCACCCCCTAAAGCAGGGTCCTGGCATGTGCTACTTGCTCTTAATAAAGTCGTGTGAAGAAAGTTTACATATGTACATTGACCCTTATTAAGAGAACTCTGTCCGCCAAGGGTTTGAAGAAATGATTTCATGCATCCTGAAGAAATTAACCCATTCGGGTACTCTGTGAGGGTCTGGGGACCAGTGAAATACGTCCTGTCAATTAGAACCATTATGATGAGACAACTTAACCCTTATGATGAGCATTCTCTTCTTTGGGAGATTATTCACTTTTTATGAGGCTTTTTTCCCCACCAAATTTCTTCCAAAATGATCATACATTTGTTTTGACTTGATGTTTGAATTCTTGTTTTGAATGTTTTTAAGGGCAAACACGAATAAAGGGTTTTCATTTTGGAGCAGTTGTTCCGTGTGTCGTCTCAGTTTGTTAGTTTTTGTTTTTTTGGTAAGACTTGAAGCAACTATAGGGGTGAACTGTTTTTTCGCATCTTTCCGAGTCCACGACATGTTTCCTAAATGGCTGAGATGCCCCCTCTGTTTTATCAGTAATATGCAAACTCTGAAAAAAGTGCTAAATTTGAAAAGTGTTAGCCAGGATATACAACGTTTTGAAAAAAAAAAATCAAACTACAGGCCAGTTTCCACTTCAAAGTCAAACTTCCCATAAAATAGTTTCGTCGCTGGCCTTGATTTTTTTGTTTTGTCGTGGGTTCAACGTTTGAGGTGATCCCTGTTGTACTTACTTTCATGCGAATATTTCGGTAAGCTAGGGAGTTCATTCTGCGCAAGCGCAGTTGGTTTGCAGTTTCGCGGCAAATTTGTCTTGCAGCAGTGTCTTACATGTCTTTATTTCGAGGTTACATTACGTGGTTTAGGAGATCTGTGTTTCGGCCTTAATTTTTTTCCAACCGAAGGGTGTGTTTGTGAATCTATTTCATCAGTCTAAAAGGGCGCACACTTTGATTACTGAGAAAACGGTATGTAGCAGCTGGTGTAATCCTTTGTTATTTCCCAATGCTAATTTTTAGGTAGCCCCACTGGTGTGGCACGGACTCTCACTCCCGATCCGTCCTTGGATCGGGAGTGAGAGTCCGTGCCACACTAGTGGGGCTAATTTTTAGGCCCCTTTCGTTCTGAACTAGGTGAACAGTGTCAGTGCGCCAGCCGGCCTAGGCCTAGCCCAGGTTGGACATTGTCTTCATTTCATTACGACCCGTAACGTAGTACGGTCAGGGAGTCCACCTGGGTTACGGCCGGCCTAAGCAGCTAAGGAAGGGCAAGGCTAACCATGCTATCGCTACATGTGTTTGCCAACGTCAGTGTATACCATCTGTCCCAACTACAGCCTGATGAGTGATAGCTGGGACAGTCCCAACTGTAGTGCTGCAGTTGAGCTGACCCAACTATTGTTGACCAATTTCTGTAGAAAATTTCTTAACCTCATCCAACAAGCTTATGCATCTCACACTTGACACAATTCACCTAAAATATGGCACTTCATCTATGGCATGACATTTGAGAATGAGAGTCATTGTAAACAATTAGGCTAGAATTTAGTTTGGCACATGCTGGGCTCATGCACACTTGACCTCTGTGCTGGAGTTGGGCCGGCCCAACTATATGCATGAGCACTCTAGTTGGGACCGGCCCAACTATAGTTGGTCTGACTGATGCTGGAATTGGGGCCTAACATCATCATCATGATCATGGTCATGAATGTTGTTTCACTTGGCATAGGCCATGGCCCATGTGGGACTACAGTCAGACAGTACACTGGGCCTACATGTACCTGCCTACATGTACGTGTGGGCTTGGGCAACCCTACTGATTCAATGTTTGCCAACTCGATTCAGGGCAACTCAGCTGTTGAGACAACTGTACCAGCATGGCAACCATGACGATCCAACTGTCTGCATAAAATAGAAAAAGACAAATTGACAAGGTTGAGACAAGAAGTCCATTGACATGATTGATGGTTGACACATGGAGATCAACTCGACCTTGTGTGTTTGTGTGTGTGGATTAGCCAAAAGAACACAGAGATGTTGAGCGTGATTTGCCTGATCAGCTGATCTGCATGATCCCCCGATTGCTCTGTGTGATTGGTCAATTCTGCATAAAATTTCCAACATTTACTTCCCTTTTTAAAATAATCTTTCACAACCATCATACCATGGGAAAGAATTCAATATAACCTGTATACAGACATCGCTTGGCACCCGGTGCATTATTCCATTAATATTTTCACTCCTAACTTTGGCTAACCGGCTAGGCCATTTTAGTGATTTCAGATGGCAACTGCAAGGAAAAATACGTGGCAACCATATATGGAATTCTTTCCCAAGCGGGAACTGGAAAGAAAAGCCAATTGGCTGATGGTAAATTACCAACCTATTAATTATTATGCACTAATATCAACTGATTTTGCAAAGATTAAGCAATCGCACGTAGCGATCGATTACACCCAAAAGGGGCACCCACTTTTAACAGGCATCCTGTCATCTGCATGGTCATCGCTGGTCATGGATTTGAGAATTGACTCTAGCTTGGTAGTCAAAGTTTCATTAGAATCAGGTTGAAGATTTTTCACTGTGTTAATAGGGTTTGATCTTTATCCCACCCAAACACTTTGGGTATGGTTGCTTGAAACCACTGACCATCATTCAATGAATTAACACCAGCAGCTAACTAGTACTTTTAACTTATCATCAGTGCCGCCGGGATGCCTGTGTCTTGCCACCATGCATGCTGCCTCATCACACTGGTTAGGGTGGTCCCGGAGGCCACTGCGCCTCCCACTGGTTCCACTGGCTCCCCATGTACACTGTACATCATGTCCCTAGTCGAGTAACAAAGTAACACAAGATACAAAAATGCCGAAACACATCAACTGGCTATCTGTGTTGAAGAATCCCTGCTCTTCTCTAGCAATGTACATGTGCTTGGCTCGCACGGTCAAGTTATCTCACTAAAAAAGTTCAACTTTTGTTACAGATTGGACTATGGAGTACTGAAGTGTGATGTCATGTAGAACCAGGAAGTGTGGTACAAACGAATGGGGTACACGCTTGTGGTGGTTCATGTGATGGTCCTTGCGCTAATGTCTTTTACTCGTATAAACGTGCACATGGCGCATTCAATTCGAGCGGCATCCTGAAGGCAAAACGGCATTGAAAATGGCCAAAATGTGTTTTTGACAAATTTTACAGTCTGACAGTGATAGCAAGATCTTTCCAGTTTTTGATGCATTCTTTGCTGCCTTTCAGAGATGAAGTTGGACACACCAGAGATTTCGTGGCATGGTCGGGAGCCCATCTACAGCGTTGACTTCCAGCCATGCAACTCTGGCGCCAGTAAGAAGGAACCTAGACGACTGGCCACGGCAGGATGTGGTACAGATGGCAACTTGCGGGTTAGTTGTGGCACTAGGGAAGAGGTCCTCCACAGTTTCTGAGATTCCTAAATGCAATATTTAGACTAGTGAGCAAACGGGCTTTATTGCCTTGGGGAAATAGCAAGAGCACCATCCCTCAACCTTTTTTATATTTGTGGTGTTTATGAAACCCAAAATTATTAAGTTCTGAGATGCAACCCTCTCCTTGAGACTGTAGTCACTGCAGTAGAGACAGAAACAAAATAGTAATGTTCACCATTGGAAGGGCACTTTCGGAATGTGACAGATTCCATGTATATATAAATGTGTTTAATTTTGCGTTGCAGAAACAGTCCCCTTAAAAATCTGTGAAGTTTCATATCACAATGATTTGGAACTGCTTTGCATTTTACAATGCAATACAAAGAAAGTTGCTTGCAATGCGCCAAGAATACGCTGTAGTTGTTTCCAAATTTTGGGTGGAATCGTGTCCATTTCATAGATTCATGCGGCCTGGAAAAGTCATGGAAATTTGTTTTTCCTTTTTCAGGCCTGGAAAAGTCATGGAATTCTGTAAAAATTACTAAAGTCAGGGAATTTTGTCAAGGAAGTCATAAAAACTGTGTGGTTTCTATTGTCAGAAATAAGCGTATAAAATCTGTGATTGTATTTGCAACCTAAAAGGCCAAAGAGTCCAAGAAATTGCGTTATTTGGTTGTAGATTTTCATATTTTTGTCATGGAAAAGTCATGGAATTTAATTATCCTTTAGGTGCAGGAACCCTGTGTGTGTATTTCCTAATAAAACTGGAAGTGTGGCTTGGACCCAAATTCAACCTTTTCCAATTGTCAAACAACTAATTCTCTGTCTCTGAAGGAAGTGCTGTTGTGATAAATTTACATTTACTTGTCAGGTATTCAATGATGTTGTCCTTTGTTGGCAAAAAAATGAACTTGTGCACTCACGTCTTTTTCGACCAGATTTGGTACATCAAGATCAACAACGATGGGAAGGCCATGGCAGAGTTTGCATCAAATCTGTCCCGACACACCAAGTCGGTCAACGTTGTGCGCTTCTCTCCCGACGGCCAAATCCTCGCATCTGGTGGAGATGGTTGGTTGATGGGTGGCATCTTAAAAACATGCCACGTATTAATTCTGGCCTGAATACACTTTTAATCTGTGTCCCACCTCGGTTACTTGGGCTGAGTGTGCACAATGCATATACAGTAATGCTTGTAATAAAAATGCCAAATTGTATTGTAAGGGAAGAGCTGATGACCTTTACAACAAATGTAAGAACCAAATCTTAAGGTCTTTTGTTTTTTTGTTTTGCTTTTTGGTCTTCTTCACCTTAAATGGAGAGGAATAGGCAACACATGTACAACAGATCCAATACATGTACATCACATAACAGCACCCATGGCTTGGTTCTTGTCTAGAGCAACCACTCATTCTTTGATCTTTCACAGACTAAAGCCATGAGATAAATCAGTGTTTCCTTCCTGGTCCAATGTGTGATACCGCTCGTGTAGATGAGCCTTGAGATTGTATCGTTTACTTGTCTTGTTCCTTTTGCCAAGACTGCCTAGTGATCTTGTGGAAGTTGACAGATACACAAGGGGGCAGCTCGGCCTTTGGCAAGGAGGACGAAGAGTGTAAGGAAGGGTGGACTGCATTCAAGATGCTCAGGTGTGTAGGATGATGTCTGTACCAGGCTAAAACAGGGCTAGCCAATGAACAGTTTACCAAAAGTGAAAGCTGGAAAAATTGAAACCTGTAGAAGATGATAAGTTGTACATATTGTAATTATTAATTAGTGCCGGTAATGACATCAAGGATTCCTCATAAGCGTCTGAAGCAACTTGTTCAGAGGAGATAATGAGAGGCACTTACACTTTTAGAGGTGGGAGGAAAACCCCAGGGGAATATTCTGGGTAAAACCCACAGAATCAGGTAGGGACTGAAAACCCAATCCACATGTGGACCAGGCCGGGAATCGAACCCGGACCGCAGAGGTGATAGGTGAGGAAAAATCCACTACGCCTACTTGACTCCCCCAATGATAAATTGTATGTGCTGGTGCATGAAATACGGATGCATTGATTGTATTGCACATGAGTCAAATGACGGGGGAAACTAAAGGAATGCATGTAAAGCTGGGAATCCAAAAGACTAGATCATGAATTGGAGGTTCAAACTTTTCTACCTTTGTCACTTTTGTTTGCTCAAAAGTTTATATTGAGCCAATAGAGTTCTACAATGAGGCATGTTGCTGTTGTTATCATGTCATGCTTGTACTGCAGGGGTCACCTGGAGGATGTCTATGACCTTTCCTGGTCCCCCAGTGGCAGTCGTTTGCTGTCCGGCTCGGTGGACAACAGCGCCATCATTTGGGATGTGGCCAAAGGTACGGTTCCTGTTGTATCAATTTGCGGACTTGGACTGTAAACAATTGGGGTTTCTTTGTTACATGGCTCTAGGAACAGGACAAGAGTAACTTTCAACTGAAAAAAAGCGGTCTGAAAGCGTCTTCATTTGACCAGTGGACACAAAATGGCAGCAGTTGGCTCAACCTCCCCTCTTTGTCACCAACGAAGGGGGCACTTCTGCACAGAAAATGTTGCTTCAAGTGCGTGGTGCACCCATTGTTTTAGAACCTGAATTCCAAAATCCTTTTGACCCTTGAGTGGAATAGTTTTACAACATAAACTTTCCAACAACTGATTCTAGAAAGTGTTTACTTTTCAGGTGAGAAGCTTGTTATTTTCAAGGATCACCGTAGCTTTGTCCAAGGCGTGGCTTGGGACCCACTGGGTAAATACTGTGCCACTCTCAGCTGTGACAGGTGAGTCTGAATTTACTTTCCTTTTATGTAGTCTGAAGTAATACCAGACCCTTTAGAGGTAATCAAGGCAGTAACTGATTTAGGCAGTCAGGTTTGCAGGATTAGATTAGTTAAGTTTAATAGTTCAGTAGTGATTTTTCCTTACCCTCCACGTCTTCGGCTCAGGTTGGAATCCCGTCCAAGACGTACTCAGAGAGTGGGTTATCAGGCCGTGTTTGATTCCACGAGTTTCCAACACCTGAGATTTTGCTCCCACCTCTGAAACCAAACATTTTTTTCATTGGCAGTTCTCCCTTGGCCTCCTGGAGAATACCCTGTTTCACCACTCAAGTTTGTTCTGTTTTTTTTTTGGTGGTTTGGTCTGTAGGTCATTTCGTTTGTACAACCTTAACAACAACCGCTGTGCTTTCAACATCACCAAGATGTCCCTGGCAACTACCACAAACAGTGGCGAGGTAAAAACTACAACAGCGTAATTTGGGATGACAAGCGAGCCTATTCTCAGTTGATCTCAAAATGAATGCTTTCCTGTCAAAATCTCTGAAAAAATGTGAAAGTTCAACAGTGCTTTGATAAAAAGTGCATGGAGCTCTGTCAGACAAATTTGTATAGAGGAGGTGACTGCAAAAGTAAACAGGCCAACAAAAGCTGAACACTTTTGCATCTAATTTTCACTCTCTGAGTAGCAAGTTCAGCGTCTCGAGACTGCTTTTTGACATTTCTTTCAGGGCATCACCAAGCAGTGTCGTATGTTCCATGATGACAGCATGAGGTCCTTCTTCCGTCGGCTGACCTTCAGTCCTGACGGACAACTTTTGATTGTGCCCTCTGGTTGTCTGGAGATGGGCGAAGTATCACCCTCATGCAACACCACCTATATGTTCACACGGTCCTCAATTCCAAGGTGACACCACTGCACTCACACACCTAATTAAGCTATGTGACATTAAAAGCTTCTCCATAGCTCAGCGTCTGAAGTAATGTTTTTGCAATACTGTTGTATGCACTGTGTCAAGGATTGTTCAAATGTGACTCAACTAGCCAAGAGTTGTCAGTCACCAGAACCACTTTTGAGTTAAAGATCTTTGCAAGGATCTTGCGCAGTGAAAATCACTCAGAGCTCTCGACACATTTCACCTGTGTTTTTTTTCAGGATGCTCACTTTGTCCTTTCTAATGTGAGTTGGAATGAAATACTCATTGTTGAGGATTCCAGTCACAGCTGCACACTCAATGTGCTGAGCATGTGTTTTTTATTTTCAGACCAGCTGCGCACCTCCCTGGACCACCCAAGGCCACCCTGGCTGTCCGCTGTTGCCCTGTATTCTTTGAACTTCGTAAAGCTGACGAAGAGACTCAAGAAGCGACAGAAAATTCAACCAAGGAAGGCATGTAAACTGTAGTAAAATACAATGCCTACATGGGTGTTGCTGGTCGAAAGATGTGGTTTTGAAGCTGCATTTTGTTTCAAGAGTTCTGTTGTGTAGTGTTTTTTAAAGATGTTGAATAACCTCTTGGCCTAGTTAGGCTGACATACATGGGGCTGTCGCATAGGCATTAACTGCTAATTCAGAGACTAGGTCATGGGAAGTCCTGGAAAAAGTTGTCCCAGAAAGTCATGAAAAATAGGGGATCCTGGAATCCTGTCGTCAAGAAAAAAGTTATGGAAATCTAGATCATGCAAGGGGTGTTTTTGATGGGCTGCATTTGTTGTGATAACAGAATGATGATAAATATACAGGCTGCCCTTGTCAAGCTGTACCAGTGGCTATGGCAGTCTTCCTGTTCACAGTTAACTGTTCTATGTGATATGGCATTAAATGTCAGGAAAATTGTCAATCTTTTTTAGTTCTGAGAAGTCTTGGAAATGTCCTGGAATTTGTTTTCAGACTTTTGTGGGAAACATCTTTGGTGTAGGAGATGGTTGACCAGTTGGATGTCGTTACACTCAGCAGGTGTCACATTTAAAGTGCATCAAGGAGATTTTCATAAGCGTGTCTGAGAGTTGATTTGAGACCCTAATCTGACAATGCATGTATGTTATGCAGAAAGAATGGACACTTCAGAGGTCACAGGCCCAAACAAAGATCCTGTAGAGGCGGAGAAGGCTGATGCAACCAAGGAGACAGCATCCTCCGCAGAATCGGTCCAAAACAGCAAAGAACCTCAGTCTCTGTTCAGGTAAGATGATGGCCAAAGGCGTACGTAGTCTATCCCAGAACAAGATAATTACCTGAAAACTATCAATGTCTTGCATTTTTAGCTCTCAGTGACCAGCTTCTGATCACCCACACGCTGACAAACCAAATCAGGAGCAAAGACTGCTTATGTGTGTTCAGAAGGACATTTATCTTGTTCACATTTTATATCAACTGTTTATTTTCAAAACATTTGTGTGTGATTTCCAGACAAACTGTAAACAGCCACCACATCTGTCTATGTCAGTGTTGCACGGTGATGTCACAGTAGGGTGAACATTAGCCACAAATGAGCAGACGTATGCTTGTTCACATACACCTATGTGTGTATGATATGATTATATCGTATATGCTGCAGCAGCTGCCCAGTGAAGGGTCAAGCTGGTTTGGGGGGAAACAATGGAATTTGGTCACATGTATGCTGTGCATGTATTGGTGTCAACCTTGTTGATAAGGGCTCTTTGTAGACACGCTGAAGCTGTCCGAATGAACTGGCTACGTCTGAAAATGACACACAAGCCTATGTCCCTCACCAGCGGCTTCAATAGCGGCATATGTGAACTTCCAGTCACAGTCATTACATGTGGTTGCAGTTTTAGAGTGAATTTGACTCTCTTTTTGACCTTGCAGCCTGCCATATAGAATCGCCTTTGCTGTGGCAACGGAGGACAGTATTCTTTTGTACGACACTCAGCAGACTATTCCATTTGGGTTGATTTCCAATATCCACTACCACCAACTGAGTGACGTTTCATGGTTAGTATGCAGTGTCTTCACCTTTGATTGGTCAGTGCTGGGTGACCCGAGTCAGGCTAGCTTTTATTGGTCACAATTGTGAATTTAAGAAAGATTGAGTAGCTTCTTAAATAGTAATTATTTTAGAAAGTAAAAATTTTCTTTCTTTTCAGGTCATCTGATGGCCAAATCCTGGTTGTCTCCTCGACAGATGGTTACTGCTCATTAGTCACTTTTGAGGAAGGTGAGATTGGTGTGCCCTACAAAACAGCACCAGTGGTTCCCGTGGCAACGGTGGGGTCAAATGTCACTGCAGCAAGTGAAACGGCATGTGGTAAACCGCCAACCAGTGTAATTCCAGCTAGCCAGGCTTCATTTGGCCAAGCCAAGCCAGTGACCAGTGAGACACTGGCAGGGATGAATGTTCATAAAGTGACGGCAAATCAAGGAGGGAGTGCATCTGCTGTTGCTAAGGTGGAGCCAAGGAGGATAGCTCTCACAACACTTGGTACCAGCACAGCCCCCAAAACAACAGGGTAAAGCACTTTTACGACGTCAGAAACCTGATTGCATTCTGGAATGAAACTAATAAGGTTTGCAGGTTTACCTTTTATTTGATTTTGAATAGGCCTGTGTACTGATGACACCAGTCATTGTTTACATGTGCACGTTCCTATGGAGCCAGTGGGGGCCCACAGTCCACTCGGTACCATAGGAAAGCACATAGGTACTAAGAAAAAGTGTGGCGTCCTTTTGTAGAGAGGCCCATTTAAGTTTCCAGTCCTTCAAATTCTTAAGCTTTTTCCTTACAGCTCACAACCGAGACGCATCTCAACCACACAACTGTCTAGCCCTCCCTCGAGTCAATCAAATCCATGCCCTACAGTATCAACCAATCAGAATCCAACAGCCACTGGCTACAGCACACCAAACTCCCAGATGCAAACAGTTCATAAATCACCCCAAGGTATGTTCTGAACATTTTGAGTGTAATGGGTAACTAAACCCTCCGAAGTTGTGAGCTCTGGAGACACGACCACATATTATAATGTAGCCGACTAAAATTCCCTGTAGGTCTTGTCTATGAAGTCTTGTCTTGTCTTATGAAAGTCCTTTCATAACTCCGGTCACAAGTAACCAGATGAACAATGACAAAGGTGTGCTCTGAGTAGCTTATGACTTGGATTGAGATGGACTTGCAGGGACTTGTGATGGATTGGACAATGCCACATAGGCTATAGAGTTCCAAAGTGTGACTTCATTTTGAACCAGGAAGTGTAGTACAAACGAATGGAGCACGTGCACGTGTTGGTTCATATGCTAGTTCTCTCACTAGTGCCTTTTTACACACAATTGAAAAGACACATTAATACTATAGAGAACCAAAGTGAATACGTCATGCATACAATTGTGTGTGAAAGGCGTTAGTGAGACGACCAATGTGTGAACCATCTCGTGCGCATACTCCATTTGTTTGCACTGCACTTCCTGTTTCAAAATGACGTCTCACTTTGGTACTCTATACTGGCACATCTGCAGATGCAAACTTTATGCACATTGCCTTTTCCCCCAACAGGTGTACAACCAAGACGTATCCAGCTTACCACGCTGTCAATTTCAAAGCCTCCAGTCAGTGAAGTATCTCCAACAAACAAATCTGTTGCCATGGTGACTACTCCTGTGTCGACCATTAACCAGATGCCCTTAACAACCGACATCCAAGGCACTCAGTCCCTCAGAAAGGGAATGGCAGAGCCCGTTTTGGACAACAAAAAAATTGAGGCTATTAATGTTCCAGAGGGGGACTCTCCAATGGAGGGTGTGACCGAAATTGCTCCTAAGAGCCAAGACAAAGACGTCATGTTGACTACCTGAAGAAAGTTTGAGAAAAAAATTTTGCTAGAAAGCTTCATTTATTGAACAAACTGTACAAAGGTATGTGCTTCAAATAGATGGCATACAAGATAAACTTCTTCTGGCAGACCCATATATGTTGAGTTTTTCAGCCAACATGTTTGCACAAACTATTTTGTTCTTTGAGTCACAAAATTTCCTTTTGGTCGAATTAACTGACAGCCTTTTTTTTAATCCAGCACACTTATTCTGCAAAAGACAACACCCCCAAACATTTTGTTACAAAGACAACAGCAATGAACAATTGGGCTTTAGTTTCTAGTTCTGATCTCTCCAAGTGTGTCAAATGGGATATGGATCAGATCTATTGCTGAATATGCACCCTAGCCAATAAATTATTTAAGGTCTATGTGTTCATGTCAAAGCAAAAGATTCTCAGTGACAAGGGAAAATTTGACAGTTTTACAGTAGGATTTTAATTGCTAATGAAAGTATTAAAAGAATACACTGGTGGTTTCCATAAAAGGAAATCATGTTTGATTTAAAAGTTAGTTGATTTTGATACCAAAGTAAACTAAAAAGATGGGTAAGTTGAACGTTTACTTACAGTGTAGGTAGCAATTCTGCCCATATTCCACTGTTTCAATTTATTATGCCAATAATAAAGGTATTCAACATTGGACCTGAAGACTGCATTCTTTACTTGTTGGTCGTTGAAAATATTAGTTTGATTCGAGGTAATATCAAATGTGAAATATCACATATCTCAGCAATTTTTACATTGCCCGAACACAGAGTTGAGAAAGACTACAGCAAAAAAGGCCACAAACAAATCTGATCTGCATATTCGCAAAAAGTACAGTGCTTGCCTTGGAAAAACATAGTTGCCCAATAAGTTAATGTCCCACGGAAAAAGCATGCCTTTTGGAAGTAAAGTCAGAAAAAACAAGAGTTGCTCTACAGGACTTGGTACACATTTTAAATCCCATGTTTCCTTCAACTCCTTTACAGTTGTTTTCTTGCGATAGCAGCCCCCCTCCCATTCAATCATTTTCAGTGACTGATGAAGTCTGCACTTGGCAGATGCTCTTCCTGCTAAGAATTGCTTCCTTTGCGGATCATCCCATCTCTTTATCTTTGCAATGACTATCCAAAAGATTACTCCCAGCCAGCCCTGATTGAAGACAGCTTAGACAGCGATAAACTTCCGATCTTCGCATCCAAAGGGGAGCCCCAGTGGCATGGCGGGCTCCCAGATATCCAGTAACCGGACGGATTCAAGCTCTTCCTTGTGATTACGCCTCCTCTCCCTGCTTTTGTATGGCTCACTAGGAGAGGAGAAATATTTTCAGAGTTGGGTTTCAGTGTCACCTCCTAAATGTGCATGTATGTTTAACCACTTGCTGCCTGGTGCTTTTAAAAATGTATTGCACACATACGGGAGATTTTCAGTTTTCAAAATTCTTCAAAAATTCATCATTTCATTTAATGGACGCTTACACCCACATGAATGACTGTTTGGTGGCAACTCTAAGCTGACAGGTACATGTAACCTTCAATGACTCCTGAGTATTTCAGCCAGGCCTGCTGCCCTTTAAAGAGAGCCCAGAACTGTGAGGTGTTGCATAATCACCTTTGTCCCCAGTGAATGCGAATGGGGTCTTTTCAAACGCGGCTGGATTAGCATAAAGCAGTACTGTGTTGCTTATTAATGGGCCCTGGAGCACTTTTGTCCATGGTGCTAATCCGCCAGCGCGCTATGCCCAAAACAGTGGTATACTGTATAAAAACAGTAACGGATTACCTTTGAAAAATGCAAGACAAAAAATGATGGCAATTCCCAGCAGCAGGTCTTTTGTTCTGAATACGGTCTTTTGTTTCACAGACCAGCTCTTTTGTCCCATTTCGGGCACCTCGGCTCTGCATATAAGCCCATGTTGCTCGAAACGGGGTTCCCCAGCAGCAAGTGGTTAAGGATGCAAGATGAACAAACATTTGTGGAAGGAGGGGTGTCTTTCAAAGCCCTGTCAGACCAGTGTGTGAAATACCACTTGCCATCAAAATCTTGATGTATTTTGACTTTTTCTCCAACAGCTGTTGCTGGCTGCTTTTAGGAACATGCAAGCTTATCACATGTATTTTGTGATCCCACGGTGACTCACAATAAAAGGCACCACAATTGGGAGCAACTGTGTGTAGAAAAATTTCTATATATAAAGCATTTGGGACTTGTGGCTTCCAACTTGGAGTACATGTATTTTGTTCTCAAAATCCTCCTACTGGAAGGCCTACGCTGCAAAGAGGCAGGTGACTTCATTCAGACTTGAGCCCAGGGTTTGACTACTATTTAAGGGGTATTTTGGGGAGGGGAGGATAATTTTTTTTTGGGGGGGGGAGTTGGCTGACACTCGTGGAATTGAACAGAAAACTGCCCAAGTGGACATAATCTTGAATTTCTAGCAAAACACACAAGGCCACTCTGTTCCTGAGCATCACCAGGCAGTGTTATTTCTCTCAGATTTTGCATTCTTTGCTATGAGTGGGTATTTAGTATAGTGCAACCTTAAGCATGTTACACCTAATATCTGTTGGTCAAATGTGTTTTTCCCCAATCTTGTTGAGACTTTCTTTATCAAACTTTGGACTTCTCATGTGCCTTGAAATAGATCAACGCATTTGTTTTTCTGTACTTAGGGAACTTTTTATGAATTCCTTTGTATCAATGACATGATTATGCAGGCCAGAAAACATTAAAAAACTGCCAAGTAGAGATGTAATAAGATTGCATTCAAACACAGTGAGCAAGCTGATCCCTGCCTTTTTTTCACCTCAACTTACCAGGGGTATGGTGGAAGCTCCTGCAACGGAACAAATGTGTCGGGTTTCCTCTTGGGCGGACCACTAAATATGAACAATGTGGGGAAAATGTCACACACAAATTAAAAAGTGGGCAACACAAAATGGTCACATTATGTAAGATTAGTATCAAGGCCATCTTTTTTTTCAGTTGTATCTTACTCTAAATTAAAAAGAGTTTGATTCAGTTTGGCTTCCTGATGAAACCGTGCATCATGTGGATGAAAACAGACATCATGTGGATGAAAACAGGCATCATGTGGATGAAAACGGGCATCGTGTGAATGAAAACGGGCATCGTGTGAATGAAAACGGGCATCATGTGGATGAATAATGTTGAGAGTTCCAGTAGACTTGTAATGGGTGAGGTTCTCATAATGGCCTTTTACAACTCAATAAGTGGCTGGAGTAACTTGTGACTCATGATGGGCCTGTTTGATTGCGATCAGTGCTCCGACGTTGGTTCACTGGCACTAGAACATGCCAAGTGGATAGAGCGAACAAGCTTTGGGAAAGGCCTTTCATTCAGCTGCCTCTCTCCACACTCTTGCAGTGCACTTTGTACTTTTGAACACTAGCTTTCCTGTTTTAATCTCACATTTCTTTGGAATCTTGGGAATGATCACCAGAATGGTCATAATTTGATTGTATAGTTGTGGATATTATCCTTGTTTGAAAGGGTGAATGTAATATTTGTATATTATTTTTTATTTTTACAGTGGTTGAGGTTGTGAGTTTTAAACAGTTTTGTGGTCTGTTGTTCAAATTGTTTATTAATTGCAGCTTGAAACTTTTAATGTTAAATTTTATGAAATTTGATGGTACATGTATTGTAATTTGTTCCTCGTAAGTGCTGGGCATCAGTTGAAAACAGCTTATGCCGATAGGTTATGATAGGTTCTACACCTATCAGAATAAGAAATTCGCTTAGTTAGACAGGGGTTAGGAAGAAAAATAAATAAAAATTGCTTGCATTTCTGGAAAGTTAAAGAGTTATTAATCCCTTTTGTGAGTGACTCAACTTACCCAAAGTTGACAACCGGCCTGGTAGAGCCGAACATGTGGAACTTTGGAGAGTATTCAGAAGCCTGGTAGGATTTGTCGCCAGGGGACGCTTGCGGGTAGAACCCTCTTCTTTCAAACATGGTTGGCACTAATGTGGGAGGGAGAGGCAAACATCACAGTTACATCAATAAATATGAAAGTTGTTGATAAATAAATTCTATGCCCTGGCTAGATCTAAAAGTACTTGTGTGCCGACTCACATTTTCGATTCATTCCCAGCATTTCGGAGTGAGTTACTTCGTTGGTTGAGGTAATGCTGGCGAGATGGTTCTTGTCTTCTGGCAAGGCGTCAGCTGGGAACTGGCAACGACGGCCAACGTGGAACCCCTCAGGATAGAATGTCCATTCTTCGTATGACCTGGCATGACGTCCTGAAGTGACCAAATGAAGACAGTGACAGAAAAGAAATGCCCATTGACAATGGCTTTGCACATGAGCTGTTGAGGGCAATTCAGTTCACAAACATTAAAGTATGATTGATCAAAGGTATGAGTGTGGCATAGCCATACACAAGTTGATGTCAGTGTCTGCATTACTTGGCTATGAGAACATCTATGCAGCCACTGGCTATCAGTTTTCAAACACGAATGTGCAATCTCTAGCCACAGCCAAGCAAATTGGACACAGCCAATGTGACAAGTGTCACCACAGGGCTTATGAGGTTACGACTTGCAACAGATAATAGCATGACGCATCTCGTAGTTCACAATTTCCTCCCACCCCCCTCGCCACAAGGGCAAATGCAATGTTTGCAACCAATGCCCAGGTAACCCATTAGCCGCATCGTACCTGGAAAACATCGAAGGGAAGGGAGTCGATAATCCTCCCTCGGTTCTGGTTCGGTGGGTGCAGGGATGTACCTTAAACGGGACGACCAATCAGGACCCTGCCTGGATAAACAAAACAGGTACATAGTTATTGCGGCCAACCATTTCCAGGGAAGAGGAGGAGGGCAAACTTGATGTCCTAAAATGACACAAGGAACACCCATCCCCCATAAACTAAGAGGAACCCACCCCTCAATACATGTATTCTCCTGACCCAACAGGTCAAGCGGTCAATGGAGGCATTCGTATGCTGCAGCAGCGGCATTTCTCTGAAGTAAGGGAGATAAGATTTCAGGCATCAAGAGAATTAGGTCTTTCTGTCTAACGGACTCATGCAATGGGTTCAAAACTGCTCCTGTGTGTACAATGTGTTTGCCAGTTGGTTCAGCACTAACTATTGAGAATAAATATAAGTTGCCATGATTGATTAGTTTAAGTTTGGTTTTTCTTGAGGTTAATGCATTTTGTTTGGGTGGTTCTAAACTTTTGCAAATGACTGTGTGTAACTTTGTTCCAATTGCAATTTCAATTGTTTATGTATGTGAGGTAAATCATAAATACTGACTCGGAATATTTGACTTGCAGGCAGTGAGGGTGGGGCTGCCAGTCTGGTTCAGATCCCTGCCCATGGGGTATGTAACGGCGCCCTCGGACTGTGGACTTTTCGTAGCCTCGTCGCTCGGGAAAGTGACGTCTCTCACGCTCTGTGGACGAATGATGAACAAATCGGATTCAATGACGTCCAACAACATTTAGCATTAGAGAGTTATGCAAATGTTAATTCTTTGTTGGCAAGAGTTCCCTATACATGTGCATATATCCGGCCACCTTGTACAGCCGACTAATCACCAAATACAGCCTTGTATTTTAATTGAAAAAAGTCTATTCAGACCAGGAAAACTGAAATTGTCTAAGGAAAGGTTGTTCTGCATCATATTTGTCATGTTTGTTATTTAATTTGGTGTAAATGAAAATTGAGAACGATGATAGCCAGATATGTAACTCTTTCCTACTATTTTTGTTGAATATTACTTTTCTTAAAGCTGTTGGATCTGTTTTCTTTTTATATATCATGACATGATCCTTGAACATATTGCAAAATATTGTTGAACTGGTTCATTTGTCTAACGTTCCTTTAATTGTTTTAATTTGTAGGGCCTATTCATGCTACTTGTAACTTGGCTTGTAATGAAATTTTGTGCTCCCAATTTTATTGTCGTATTGTAACGTACATGTATCTATACTGTTTAATCTGTGTACAATTTGTATCTACCTGAAAAAAGTCTAATAAATACATGTAAGTAAATTAGGGAAGGAGTTACTCCATCTTCCTACGCCCCTTTTGTTAAAAAAATATTAGTTATTGTTATCAGGATGTGTCCTTTCTCCATGGCCGAACTAAAGTCAGAACGAATTTAGTTATGAACATGCATGAAAGTGGCAACCTGGCAACAGACACCGAACCGAAGAAATACACTGAATGAGCCCTTACCTTTTCGCCCTGGTATTCCTATCTCTGTGGTGACATGCAACGCCATCGTCAGCCGAACAGACAGGATAAATTATTGCGCTTTCTCGCGACTTTTCAAAAATTTTCTAGAGAAAACAACGACGGCGGTATTCTGTCAACAGGTCAACATGCTCAACATGCATGACATGCCAAGGTACACATTATTATGACTTTGACATAACAACTGTCGAAAGAGGGCGTTGCGAGCGTCAATCCATTTGTTGCTATGGCCATTTTTTAAAGTTTGGCTTTGTCACGGATGCGGCTTCTTTCAAGCTACAAGATAATCTGGTACGAACATAATATAAAATCAGTGCTCTGGAATATGTGATTGCTGAGCTTTCGGTAACTGAGCACCTTCTTCAAGGCAAGTAGGTTCAGTTTTGAATGAACGTGGAAAAATCTATTTTCATTCCCAGAGGATAAGCAGCGTTCCAAGTTCGAAAATGACGCGCTGCTCCAGTACCCTGTACTGTACATGTACATCAGATGACGCCCTCCGCAGAAAGCAGGCACTTACGTCACCGAGGTCGAGTTCGGGCGCTTGTTCTTGACACGGGTTCCTTGTTCTCGTGCTCGAACGGCGGGAACACGACTCAACAATACTGTTCTCGGAACAGGATCGCACACCACCTCCTCGTCAGGGTTTTAGCAGGAACAAATGGAAAAACTCGTGAAATTTTGATTTTTGAACAGCTGCAAAAAGTAGAGAGATGGCTTCCAAAGCCATAGACAATGGGAAGTTTTGCAAAATTAACATTAAATGATTAACTGTTTTCCGTAACACAGAAATGAATGTCCTGTTTATATAGAAAAGAATTCAGCCCATCCAAACATGAACTCTCGAATAACGTAGCCTACATGGACGCCGCGGCCATGTTGCATGTCACTAACTACCATCGGTAACCCGTTGTTTGTTCCCGGCGTTCGAGCGGCCGACCCACGAACAACAAATCGAGCTGTTTGTGAACATACGAGAACAAGCCGCGTGTTCTTACGTTTGTGCTCGACATGACCACTTTGAGTGTTTAAGACCGAATTTCATTTTTAACTTGAGAAAACGGCCCGAATCATCTGAATACTGTGCGGCTGGCAAAGGGCTTCAAAGGAAGCCGCGGTAGAATATTAGCGGGTCCTTTCCCCAAGGGAGACGTGTACGCCCGCGTCTGCAACAGGCAAACTACCAAGTTATTCATAGCATTGGACTATAGGCGGTGTCCAAAATGGGGGTCCCAAGTTAACACTCCATTTATATCCATTTTCGCAGATGATGACACATAGCTGCATACACAAAATGTGTCTGGCAGCGGCCACGCTACTCCTGCCGAAATATAAAGATATCGCTCTTTATGTGTATGAAGAAAACCAAATTGTGTTACAATAAGCACGGAGAGTTTTACTCACATCCAAGCTTTTCAGCATTTATAGTCGGAGGACTTTATTGAGTAAAGAAGTGTTTCATGCAGAGAGAAACCAGAGCAGCTCTTACGTTAACGCCTATAGTAAAGTTGTGACTTGTTCACAGCTCAAAATATTCTGTGTAAATTATGCCCCGTGGCCAATAAAACTGGCATTAAAGTTGACTCAGATGTTAATGCTGAGCACAGCTAATGACTGCCAAAGAAAAGAGTAGTTTTCGTTTGATGTGTAATAATGGTGATCTCGGAGTAAGTGTTTAATACGGACGCAGTGTTCCGAGGACGTCACCACGTCCCATGGCATAAGAAGTGTGGACCCGCGAAACCCGGGCCGACACCCACAGCTATTTATAAAAAGAGTAGCAACATGAGTGTCTCCAGTAGTTTTTAGAACCAAAATGGAGGATTTTATTGAACATGGACTGTACCGTGACTGCACATGTGGATAACGAACAGCTATTTGGTTCCAGAGTCGGAAGTTGGCGCTGCAGCTCTGACGCCACTTCTGCTTTCGCGCCCTCTGAAGAATATAAGTTGGGAGGATTAACGCCGGTGTGATTATTTCATTCTATAGTTGAGTCGTTTTTACTCACAATGTTAGCTCAAAGAGTTAAATTCGAGGCGTTTTTGTCTTCACTACCGTGTTTGACCGAGCCTGGTACCTTTTGATGACACATAAACCACGCTGGCGGAAGACAATGAAATTCAGTGAACTGGCGAGTTGGGCTGCAGTTAATGGACAGCAGCGCGTGTGACTGCCGTCACCTAAATGGGGGGGCATCAATCAGACAATAAGATATCCTTCTCCTGTGTGTTACAGCTACAACTCCAATGCCGGTGTATATTATTCCCATAATTTGACGTTTACAATGATTTACTGGCCTTGTAACCCCCGCCTTTATACAGCAGAAAGGGCAGGATCGGCCCCTGTGATCGCCGCCGCAGTCTGCCAGGGTCATTAAAGGCCATCTTGCCTCCTACTTTGCATCCTCTGATAAACTCATCTGCCCTGCTTCACAGCCATGCATCTCTATCAAAATGCAGACACAGTGCAAGTATCATCCATCCAAGATAGGCTTTTCCTTTTTCGGTGGTCGCTGCAGTCATAAATCTTCGGGGGCATATTTTTTTTTGTTGTTCTTTCTATTGACACCCCCCCTCCGGTCAGGCCGTGCCAATTTCATTGGTTCCAAACAGGGCCCGCTAGGCATCAGTTGGATGATGTCAGAATGTCAGGCTTAGATCGATGCCTTATTTATGTTACCACACCTAGACTCTCTAAAAGGGAGTTCGGGCGGCCCAACGGCCGAAGACGGGATTTAAAGTGTGCCAGAAACCGGACACAGTCCGGAACTTGGCGCCTTGACCGGGAAACTTGTGGCACAGTGTTGTTATTGTTGTGCAAATTCGTGGCAAATATCAGTTTGGGAAACATTGAACAAAATCGCACGTGAACTGTCAAAAGAGTAGACAACACTTTGGATCATATTAATGTTGTGATCTTATAGCCTACGATACTAAATGTGGATTATAACTTTAGCGTAAAAGCGTAAAATTCAAGCTAATGAACAATGACGAAAATGAACTAAGTACTGCCTCTTTAGTCTCTTGGCTTAATAAAAGTCATATCAAACGAAAAAGCTCGAGATTCTGCACTTAACATATGTGTGCTGTATTTCCGCAAAATGAAATGTTTGGTTGAACGTCTTTTGCATCATATACATGTACTTGCAATTTTCTATTCCAGTTCTCGTTTCTGGTGCTGCTGATGTTTAGCTCTGTTTAGGTGCCCACGAGCCTGGATCTGAGATTTCCATAAACTTTTGTTGTTACAGTGGAGGAAAAACATTTGCTTGAAATCCGCGATTACAAGCCTTAATAACATCCCTGAACCACCAAGCATCAATCTTGCGTCTCGAAAATGAAACGTACCGACAAGCCATCCTCCAGTCTTGGTGAGGTTTCTATGGAGATCAATCACTTTCAACTGCAGTCTACAGCTTCATTTGTTAAACATCAAAGATATAACTGATTTGACGCTGTACTTTTGTTCCCTTGGGGGATTAACCTCACTTCTCCAACACCCCCATCATCTCGCTTAATGGAACGGTTGTTGATGCGGGGTGCCACCCCTGTGCTGCACCTTCCTTCCTCTGCTGCGCCACCCAGCTCCAGCTCTTCTCCAAGCCCGCACCGATCTAGTTTGACGTAGTGCTCACCTCATCAAAGTGACACTGTCAACTAATAAGGGACAACTCCGCTCACCAAATCTCCTTGTTTGTCTACCCCCTCTCTAATTATCCTCAAGGGCTAATTTTTTAGGGGGGAACCGTGCAGCCGTGATTTTCTCGCCTGTTCTTGAACTGTGCTCCGTTGCCGAGGAAAAAACAGCCAGATGGCGCAGCGCGTCCTCGGCCACCCCGCGACGGGGCAAGTTGGCTCATCCATCGGTTGGCTAGTTCCTCTCTGGTACGATCCGGCATGTGCCGGTTGGCCTCCTTTACGGACCGGACACATTGGACTTAACTCATCTAGTTCATTCCCGAATACCAGGCCTGTTTGATGATGCCGGACTTTTTTCCCAAAAGACGGGCCTACGGCTGTTCAGAGAGAAATGGCCCAGGTTGATTTAATCGCTATTCGCCCGAATTCGGCACGGACACAGAGATGGGAAATCAGATGAGAAGGTGGCATACTCTGAGCTTGCATACGGATCAAGGCGGCTGATGAGATACTTTCAAATGTAGAAAACGTTTTCAGTTGACAAAAAAATGAACATTTGCCAGCACTGTGGAAATGAAACAAGGCTATTCTCATAACGAGCAAGGGATTGGCGGGCGTAAAAATGCGTGAGAGCAAAATAAACACTGCAGGTCTGAATCTTATCTTCTGTCCAAACTCGACCGGAATTTGTTGTCAGTTTGTTCACTATTTTTGTCCAGATTTGAAACAAACCCCTCTCCTTGTAAAAAGTATACCATGCACACAATCCGGGAGCTATTTTCACACTTGCTCAGTACCGTTCACGACAAGCCTCCATTGGTGACTATTTCTCTCACGTCTGTGACCTGGGTTAAAATACACGAGCAACAGTTTTTCAGTGGCTATTTTGTTGGTGGAAAAAAAGTATTTCTCACTTGCCCCTCACTTCCATGTCACGGCTCGTGATGGTTAATCAGGTACTTCTATCCGTGTGTGGATTCTATGGCCTGGGTTCGAATTCCACCATCATGCCAATCAGGCTAACCATTTCTTGTTGCCAGCCCATGCAGTTGCCCCTTGACCCGGAACAACTTCGTCCTCCTTCCCCTGTCCACAACGTACACCGCTCTGACAACGGCGCGTTTGAGAAACCCCTGGTTCCGTAATCGTATAAACAAATGCACCATTATGACCGAGCCCTTAAAAACCATATGACTGAGCACCTCTCTTTTGCATCGGTGCAAAACCGTGGATTTCGCCTTCAATCCCACAAAGATGACATTAATACGCATTCTGCACTTTTGAGTCTGATATTAAATTAAAAAAAAACTTTACTCGAATTGAAATTGCCGTTTCGAGCGACCGTTGTACAGCTCTGTTAGGAATACAACACAAAATTATTTTTGTAGAGAAATGAGCTTGCAGATCATAATGATGAAATCCAATTTTTCGAGACAACTGACATCTAAACTTCCAAGTAGGTGGGGGATAAAACCTTCCCAACATAAAGGGCGCTATTTACAGTATTGCGCAT